TATATATATATATATATATATATATATATATATATTTTTATGATTGTACATTTTTCTGTGCTAATTTTAAATCTCCCGTTGAAGCCTGAAGAGCGGGAGCGAAACCGGTTGCTTCACCTCTTTTTTTTTAACATGTCTCGTAATATTAAATTTTATACTTTTATTTCGATCATTAAATTTTGTACCTACAAAAACATCTTTAAATATATATATATATGTCTATAATTCAAGTAATTCTAGTACATTTATTTGATTTAAAAAGAAACATAGTCTATTAGTAATTAAGAGTAAAAATAATATTTTATAATTGTAGTTCAATATAACTTATTTTGAACCAAACACCCCTTTTAGAAAGAATCTTTAAGTATACAAGTACGGATTTAACGGAAAAAAATGCCGAAAAGCTTTTTGCTGTTGATAAAAAGAAACGTTGAACAGATGTCAAAATTGGTTGAAAAATGCACCCCTACCATCCCTAGACCTAACCTAGTTTTCGAACGTAATCATAATTGATACAACAATAGTTAATAAAAATGAACACGCTACTGCCCCTGGAAACAAAAAAAAAAAAAAAAAAAATTATGAATTGTATGTGCGTTTAAAAAATTTTGAAAATAAGTTATTCCAAAATTCGCTTGAGGGTGAAACGGAACTAATGCTTTTAATTTAATTATATAATTAAATTTAAAATTTTTAGCTTCAGTTTTTGAAACATGTGCAGCGAAGAAACCATATTTTAAATCAGTTAATTTATAATATTTTTGCTCTGTAAATTTACATTAAGCACTTAAAAATATCAATAAGAACACTGGATTATATATCTTACTGTTCTTTCTTTTTATAATATGTGTAAAAGAACATTAAATTTAAAAAAAAAAATACTGGAAAAATTGGAAATACCGTTTAAAACCATAACCCATGAAGACAGGAAATTTTACCAAGAAACTTCGAAGTCGGAATAAAAGTTAAGTAATGATCATGAGCCGTTCTAAGCTTCCTATAGTTCCTTTAATTTTTGGACAGTTTTTGTCTTTATTTCTCCTGAAATAAAAGCAACTAAAACGGCTCAAGATCAAACATAATAAAGTTCTAACAATGGTTGTCTTTTATATTTAACAATATATGTTTGAATATATATATATATATATATATATATATATTTTATGAATAAAAAAAATGACAATAGGAAAACTGGTAATTACCAGTTTTCCTATTGTCATTTTTATTCATAAATATTGTCTTCTACCGATTAAATCGGAGAAATTTTCATATATATATATATATATATATATATATATATATATATATATATTCAAACAATATATATATATATTCAAACAATATATATATATATATATATATAGAGAGAGAGAGAGAGAGAAAAAGAGAGGAGAGAGAGAAAGAGAGGAGAGAGAGACAGGGAGAGAGAGAGAGTTAAAGAAAAATGAAATGTATGAAACGAAATCAGATAGAAAATTAAATAGATAAAAACACATGAAATAGATATAGATAGATACAAAATCACGTAGATAGATAAATAAAAAAATAAAATAGATAGCTATAAGAGGCTGATGGATTGTTCCAACCGCCATTCCATATCTCCAAAATTTAATGTTTGTCGTTAAAAAAATGAAATCTCTAGAGAATTTAAATAAGCAATAAAGACATCATAAGTATACATGGTGTCAATTTCTTTTGCAATTTTCATTGATTGAGGCATAGAAATAAAAATCAAGATCGATATTCTTTGTTGAATTTAATTGGCTGTGAATTTTCGACTACTGATACGATGACGCACGTGGGTGTAGATTTACGGAACCAGGTGTTGATAAATCTCATTTGTCGTTATTTCCATAGGAATTCATATGCGATTTGACATACGCATTATTTAGATGTTCGGGTAGATGGAACTCGTCAGCCCGGGAAAGTAGTCCTAAGAGAAGGAAAACTCTGATTTTAAACTTCCGCTGCCTTTCGGCCAAACGCTATCACGGGGAAAGCTTCGGAAGTAAACTCTGAGGAAGAATTCGGGACCGAAGTCCCTTAGAGAGTCCGATGTTATGCCCAACTGCGACGACGCAGGTGCCAAGTTGTATTGGACAAAAATCGGTGGCGTGGGGAGAGGAAACCTGCGCGTTGGATAGATAGATAGATAGAGAGAGAGAGAGAGAGAGAGAGAGAGAAAATGAGATAGATAAATAAAAAGATGGATAGATAAAAAAATCAGATAGATAGATAGATTGGTAAATAGATCGATAGATAGATGGATAGAAAATGAAACAAACTGATAGATAGATAGATAGATAGATAGAAAATGATAGATAAATAAAAAGATAGATAAAAAATCAGATAGATAGATAGATAGATAGATAGAAAATGAAACAAACTGATAGAAAGATACAAAATCATATAGATGGATACAAAATGAAACAAAGAAATAGACAGAAAATGAGACAAATAGATAGATAGATAGATAGATAGATGGAGGGAAATTAAACATATTGATAGATTGATAGAAAATGAGATAGATAAAAAATAAAACAAACTGATAGATAGATAGAAAATGTAACAGAAAACGAAATAGATAGATAGAAAATGAGATAGATAAAAATAAGATTATTGGATATCAAGATTATGGGAGGTCAAGAGTATAGGATTTCATAAAGCCATCACTATCCTGTAAAATAATACAAGTATTGTTTTTAAATAATAAAAATCTATTAAACAATAGACATGAGTTAACGGTATTTTGCCGACATCATCAAAATTTCGCAGTGAATAATTAGCTTAAAAACAAGCATACAATAATATAATTTTTATAATCCATAGCCCCAATAAATAGTTTGAATACCCTACAAAAATAGATAACTCTTTATTAAGTCGTCAAAAAACAAATGTTACGGCAGTTTTTATATACACAAAACCCTTTCATAAAGAAATAAAATAAAAAAATAAATAAATCTCCATAGACACGTAAACCAGACTGGGCGAAAACATCTTCCGTTTTAAATTTAGACAGCCCTACCTTACCCTGACTTGACATCTATGAATGTAACTCTATACTGATACATATTATTAACACCCAACACACCTCCCTATTTAAACAATCGCCCTGGATGTTACCATGGAAATTTTGATTTCAATTATGAATATGCTATTAAAACTCGTAAATTTCAGAAATAAGCTATTCCAAAAAAAAAAAATTCGCTTGAAGATGGAACAGAGCTTACTTTAATTCAGTTGAATTCAAATAATTATATTGAAGTTTTCGGCTCTTGTTTTGAAACATGGGGCCTCTTATGTAGCGTGTTGGAATCATTTTTAAATAAATAATTATATTTATGGTCTACTTTTGTATCGAGCACTATTTTTAAAAATAATAACAAAAATACTAAAGAACTTTGGAATATTTACCTAACCAGTTCTTTCCTATTTTCTATATATTTCCATATATATATATATATATATATATATATATATATATATATATATATATATATATATTATGATCAGCTATATTGTTTGCCGACGAGAAAGTTAAAAAACAGAATTGTGCGTACAAAAATGATTTATTAGTAAGCAAATAGTTTCCATTGTTTTGAACAAATGTCTTTCAGCATTCAACAAGCTTGTTGATGACATTTTCGTGGAAACGTCAGTGTTTATATTGAAAAAAATTCTGGGTTGAAAAAAATCGAAAATCAATCTAAGATGTAATGATAAATATTATAGGATATCGAGATTATAGAATATAGAGATTACAGGGTATCAAGATTATAGGATATCAAGATTAAAGAATATAGAGATTACAGGGTATTTAGAATATAGGATATCACGATTATAGAATATTGAGACTACAGGGTGTCAAGATTATAGGATATCAAGATTATAGAATATTGAGATTACAGGGTTTTTAGATTATAGGATATCAAGATTATAGAATATTGAGATTACAGGGTAAATAGATTATAGGATATCAAGATTATAGATTATAGAGATTACAGGGTATGTAGATTATAGGATATCAACATTATAGATTATAGAGATTACAGGGTATGTAGGTTATATGATATCAACATTATAGAACATAGAGATTAAAGGTATCTATATTATAGGATATCACGATTATAGAACATAGAGATTACATGGTATCTCGATTATAGTATATCAAGATTATAGAATACAGAGATTATAGAACATCGAGATTAGAGGCATTTTTCATCTGACTGTTTTTTATTTAAATTCTTCTGTAAAGACCGGAACAATGGAAAATACGAAATAGCTAAGTCCAAAAAATATGGTTGTTTCTGGAAGGTTACCCATTTCAACTCTTTAAGTTTCTGGAAGGATTGATTCACAACATGATGTCTTACGTTTTAATGGTGGTAAATCACACCTTGTCAATTTGTCAAAATCATTCATTTTATTTTGCAGAACCACATTGTGATTGGTGAGATAGTCGCAGTGCTTCTTTTTAGTTATTGCTTCGCTGTCTAGAAGAAACTCTGAATGAATTATCCATCTGAAATCCCGCCGAAAGGGCCGACAATAACTTTATTAGATGCCATTCAGCATTAACCACATGTTCTCCACATTCACTAGCTTGTTTCCGGCTCTTTTTGCATCGAACGTTAGCAACAACGCTTCATTTTTAATCGCCGGTGAAAATGCTGTCTAAATACGACTAATTTTAGTGGGGTAACAGCAATTAAATCACCACAGAAACAGGCCGAGGTTTTGTTCTCTTCCATCAGAGAAAGTGGCACCCACGTTTCAAGATTGAAAATGAACCCATGTCTCTTCAAATGGCAATTGAGATATCGATTTTCAATCTCTAAGAAATCTCTTCCGTGAAAAGCTTCAGTTTATTCTCTACGATATCAAGCAGAACGTCTCCATTGACGCCCGGTGGTTGCCCTGGGCGTGGTTGATCGTTTAGTTTAAATACACCCTGACGAAATCGGCAAAAATCTTTTAATTTTTAAAAAGTTCTTACTGCTGTTGGTCGTTGACATGTTTCCGAAATTCAAAGAGTATATGAAGAACGTCTGACTCGCAACTGAACGATGCAAGTTTTCAGTCTAGAACACGGGAAAATCGGCTCCAAAACAAATTTTGTGTAGAGCGATCATTCCAGACCTCAAACGAAACTCGACTATTTATACCATTACTAAAGATGCTGGAATAATGATTGATAACTTTTATCGCTCCAGGAAAAACGAAAATTGACTCCTGCTGCTATGCTTTACAAGAGACAGATCAGGAATGGAAGTATTGTTAACATATCTGGCCTTACGCTGCACACATCACACTGTCCATCCTTGAGATCGAAAGCGATTGTGTAGTCTTGTGGGTGAATTATGTTCCCCATTGCAACCCCTTTCCCGCATAAGAAACATTACTAGCCTCTCAATACTTTGTGGCGAATTTAACATAAATAAATTCCTTAGTTCCACCAGTTCAGGCCTTCACAGCCAGGACCTGCCATACCACGTAAACAGCGTCTAGTCATCCTTATTTCCTTTGCCTGCTTTTGCTAAAGGAGGAGTTCTACTTAAGCAAGTTCTGAAAAATAAACTTCCTCTTATATAGATAAATATATATCGTTTGAGATGAGAACAAGATAGGAGAGACAAATAAAATTGTTAAACGCTTCTGCTTAAGTTATATTTGCTTTATAGCGTTTATTTTAGCCGATAATGTGACACTCTGGACACCCGCGTAGAAAGGGAAGAGCTAGTTTTATATAGGAAATATCCGGGTGCCGGTCTATATTAACAGTCGTGATTGGGATCGGGGTAGGTTCTGGTCGGCACTTGGCGGGAGACGGATGTGTCAATGTCCGGGAGACGGATGTCTCCAGTGTTGTGGCTTAGGTGAATCGACTTCCGAGAAGATATTTCCCCGACAACTACCATCTTGTTCCCTTCAAGTGTATCTATCCTAAGGATCATTATAATATGCACATATTCCAACTTCCCTCACACTTGCTTCTTTACAACAATCGCATTCGGTAACACTCTAGCTTGATGGGCTCATGCGCCTTGTATTCGATAACGTGTAATTTGCGTGGAGAATACGTAGAAAACCTATTTCTCTACAGTTATTTTAGGGTTTGATGTCCTTTAGATGTCCTTTATATTGTTTATGTCATTCATTGGACTGCTACTATGTGCCGTGTCACTTCAGGCCTGTCGTGGTTTTCTACATCTTACTATCTTCTTTAACACTTAGTTTTGCAGACGACATTGACCTCATAGCAAGTAGTAACAGCGAGCCCTAGGACTTGACCAACAAAACTTGTTGAAAGAGCAGGAGCATATGGAATGGAGGTCAGGTCCAAGAAATCCAATGTAATGGTGAATAGCAGAAACAGTGTCACCTGTGTCAACATTACCATGAACGGGAATTCACTAGAAGAAGTGTCCAGTTTTAAATACATGGGAGCAATCTTGTCTAAAGATGGTACCTGCAACTCGCAAATCCGCACACGGAATACTGCAACCATGGCAGTGATAAACAAACTGGCAAGAATATGGAGGAGCAAAATTAACTTTCAAACAGACTGTACAAATCGCTGGTAGTCTCCATTCTCCTACATGGATGTGAAACGTGGACTCTGTTAGCAGACACAGAGAGAAGGATCCAAGCGTTTGAGAACAAACGCATAAGAAAACTCCTTGACATCTTTTATTGGGAACATATTGGGTTTGTGTGGAAAATGGTTGAAAGTTTTGTGGGGACACCAGGAATCTCTTCTCGCCACTGTCAAACGGAGAAAAATGTTTTGGACACATCACAAGGCACGGCAGTCTGTGCAAGACAATTATGCAAGACGCCGTTGAAGGTGGACGTAGGAGAGGATGCAAAAACTGGTTGCACAATGTCAAACAATGGACAAGAATTTCTATACCAGAATTAATGATGGCTGCGTTGAGAGACCGTTGTGGAGGAGATTCAATATGGCTTCTGCATTCGAATTCCTCAGCCACGATTACAAAAGTCAAAGGGATGATGATGATGATGATTATGAAAGCTTTTCCTTTTGCTATCTCTCCTAATCGCAAGTAGTAACAGCGAGCCCTAGGACTTGACCAACAAAACTTGTTGAAAGAACAGGAACATATGGAATGGAGGTCATCTCCAAGAAATCCAAAATAATGGTGAATAGCAGGAACAGTGACACCTGTGTCAACATTACCATGAACAGGAATTCACTGGAGGAAGTGTTCAGTTTTGAATACTTACTAGCAATCTTGTCTAAAGATGGTACCTGCAACTCGGAAATCCAAACACTGATTGCCACAGCCATGGCAGCGATGGTCAAATTGACAAGAATATGGAGGTGCAATATCAGCTTTCAGACAAAGTACAGCCTGTACAAATTGCTGGTAGTCTCCATTCTCCTATATGGATGTGAAACGTGGACACTGTTGGCAGAAGCAGAGAGAAGGATCCAAGTGTTTGAGAACAAATGCATAAGAAAACTCCTTGACATCT